GCGTTAGTAGGGCCATGCTCTGTGCGAATGGTCTCTAGGGAGAAACCCATCCCATGTCTCTTCTAGCTTCTTTGTCTTGTGGCCATATCACTCCAATCTCTGTCTCAGTCTTCACATTGCCTTCCCCTCTATTATTATTATTTTAATTTTTTAAAAATTTTATAAGATTTTACTTACTTACGCGAGACAGAGCACAAGCAAGAGGGAGGGGCAGAGAGAGAGGGAGAAGCAGACTCCCTACTGAGCAGGAAGCCTGATGGCGGGGCTGGATACCAGGAAGCTGGGATCATGACCTGCGCCGGAGGCATATGCTTAACCGGCTGAGCCACCCAGGCGCCCCTAATTTTTATTTTTAAAACTGTTTTTAGATGAGTAGAAGGAAGAAAAAGGAAGAACTGGGGGAAGGAGATTGAAGAGACAAAACATGCTAATTTTTGTTTACAGAATTTTAATGGAAAGAAGGCTAACGTGACGGAAAAAGCCAAAAGTTAAGGATGTTGAGGCAGGATTAAAATCCAGATCTTCTGGCACCAATTCCGGGGCTCCTTTGGTTCCCGTTGCTACTCATTCATTCACTCACTCACTCATTCATTTGTACTGAGTACCTGCTACGTGCCAGGGACAATTCCAGGCTCTGGCAATGGTACCCTGGAAAACTCTGGCATCATAGAGTTTATATTCTAGTAGGGGAGACAGACATAATGATGACGACGATTATGTCACGTGCAAAGAAAAGTGACGTCACAGAACGGGGAGGAACAGGAATGGCATTTCAGATGAGGTGTTCTGAGCTCAGAACCTCCAGTTGCTGTCCGCGCACTCCAACGAAGACAGCGCTTCCGGACGCCAGCGTGCCCTCCATAAACCTCTCTTTCGCGCTTAGCCTCGCCGAGCCTCACCAAGGTGCGGTCTGTAGGGAGAGGGGCGTGCACACGGGAGGTGCAGAGCGCATGCTCCTTCAAGATCTGTGGCTCTGGGGATTTTAACTAGACTCCGACGGCCAAGAGCAGAGTACGCAGGCTCATCGCGTTAAGACAAGTGGGAAGGCTCCGCCCAATAGGAGCTTGCTTTTGAGGTTGTGGTCCCGCCCCCAGCCCATTTTCTACTTCCGCTTCCGGCGCTGAGGTTGTCCCGGTCGAAAATGGCGGCGGCGGCGGTATCTGTGTCCCGTCTGTCTGGGCTGCTAGGTCGTTCCGGGGCACAGCTGGGGCGTTCTATGTCGAGTGGCGCCCACGGCGAGGAGGGCTCAGGTACTGGAGCTGCGGTTGGCGGGGCGGGCCTCAGCCCCACTCGAGCGAGGCGGAGCAGGAATGTGACCTTGGCTTGAGGACTTGGGGTTGGGGGGTGAGACCCGGGCGGGGTCCCCACACCAGGCCTGAGCGGTCGTGCCTCCTTTGCAGCTCGCATGTGGAAGGCTCTCACCTACTTCGTAGCGCTCCCTGGCGTGGGTGTGAGCATGCTGAATGTCTTCCTGAAGTCGCGTCACGGAGAGCACGAGAGACCCGAGTTCGTCGCTTACCCCCATCTCCGCATCAGGTCCAAGGTAGGCCTTTGTAGGCTCTTCGAGCATCCGTTCTCCTTTTATTACAGATGCCTAGTCTGAGTTCTTCATGCTCTAAAATCGTGTAGAATTTGTCATTTAATTCTTACAGATTTTTATTTTCTCCGGTTTTATGGAAATGTAACAGACTTGGGGGGTCACGTTTGTTTTCTTTTTCAAGGTCATACAATAAGTGCCCTTCAGTTTTCCTTTTTTTCCTGATCCATCCCACCTCTGCCTTCTGATACTGTTCTGAAACAGTTGTCCGTTGTATGAGACTTGGAGGTTTGGGAATCTCCCTTAGAGTGGCAAAATCGGAAGGTGGTTCGCACTTCTAGGACCTGGGCATCTGGCAGGTACTAGCTGCATGATGAAGAGACTAACAGCTTCTCTTATTCCTACCTCTGCTGGTTATTTTCTCAACTGTTTTATCCTTTGCTATTGATGTAGATGTAATCATTTGTTTTCCACTGCTTGTTGTAAGTATTCTTAACAAGAGGCCCTGCTGGCTCTTTAATAACTATTATATCACTTAGCCAAGATAGGACTGGCCTTATAGAAACTTAAGCTAGAGTCTTAGATTCAGAAAGAATTTTTGAGTCTGAGCCCCATTCCTGCCCTTGTACAAAGATGTAAAAGCCATATACCATGGTTTTCAACCTCAATACTATTGACATTTGGGGTTGGATAATTCTTGTTGGGGCAAAGGGCTATCCTGTGAGTCCTAGGATATTTAACAGCATCCTTGACCTCTACCCACTAGATGTCCTCTCCCAGATGTCTCCAGATATTGCCCAGTGTCTTGGGCAAAATCATCCAGGTTTGGAAACCACTGCCCTAGAGCAATGTTTTTCAAAGGCAGCATGCAAAAAATTGAGGAGGGTAGGTTGGTTTCCAATCCAGAGGTTTGTTTTAGATCTGGAGTGAAGCCCAAAGTCTGCATTTAAATAAGCATCTTCTCTCATTTACCCACCTCTACCATTCTGATACAGATGATGTGAGGATTACACTTTCATAAACACTGCCCTCATAGACTAGTTGCCAGGGAGAGGCTTATGAATAATGAACTTGAGCTTGCTTTTCCTACTGCCTACTTTAAAGGCTCTCCTGCAAGTTAAAAGAGCTCCTTTAAATTATGGGAAGGCTGAAATACGCCAGTAGTTAAAGGACTAACTACCATTTTGTTTTTATGTATGGTCTGTCACCCTTTGTCTGAAGCAGTTCATGGCAGTGCTGTTTCTGAATTCTCTTCTGGAATTGCCTAACTGACATCTTCACTCCACAGCCCTTTCCCTGGGGAGATGGTAATCATACTCTATTCCATAACTCTCACATGAATCCACTTCCAACCGGCTATGAAGATGAATAGAGAGAACCTGGACCACCACCCAGTGGGGACCACAGCACTGGTTTGGACCATGACTCTGCACACGGACCAGAAAAATCTATGGGACCTTAAGCTCACCTTCTTTACTTGTATCAAATGATGACCAGTATACTGATCTTCCATCCCTTTGCTTACGGCAGGAGATGGCTTAAATAAATAACTTAGATTGGTCCATGATCTGAGAGTTGCATTCTTTGGTGTTTTTCCCTCCAAAATCAGCATTGTTATTTTCGTTTCTATAATGAAGGTTTATGGCTGCCTTGTACAGGCCTCTGGATAACGGTGTTTATAATAGGCTTGTCCTTGGTTTCTTATGCCTGGAGTGGGTAAAGCAAAGGGACCATAAATGGAGCTAATTTAAGTATCAAGATTGGGTCCTGACAGACTTTGGGTGGTAAAGATATTGAGTAGAATACCTGCAATTTACATCTGAAAGAGGTATCTTTGACTCTCCAGAAGAAGTGCTTTCTCTTGTCCCATTCCACCAGCATTTGCTGAAGAGTATTCCCTGTGGTCAGGTAATTGGCTCCAAAGTGTCAAGTTCTCACCTTGTCATCTCTCAGCACCATGAAGGTTAGAAGGGTCAGAAACTTTTGGAGAAATAAAGGCAGTATGACACATTTCTGCATATAGCAATTAGCTTTATTTGTTTCTGGAATTAAAACCTTCCTGTAGCATTAAGAGTTAGGGAGAAACAATAGTAAGAGTAACAAAGTCACCCTTACAGAGCATTTAATTTCTCTTCAAAATTTAAAATCTTTGAAGTAGCTGAGATAGTTGGAATCACTTTATGGGCAGGATGAAGTCAAAATAGAATGAAGAACAATTGGGCACCTGGGTGGCTCAGTTGGTTAAGTGTCTGACTCTTGATTGCAGCTCAGGTCATGATCTCAGGGTTGTGAGATCGAGCCCTGCATCGGGCTCCACACTGTGTGGAGCCTGCCTAAGATTCTCTTCTCTCCCTCTCTTAAAAAAAATAAAGAACAATCAGAAGAAATTATTCCCTCAGTAGCAGTTACAATGAAAGAACATGGTTGGCTTGGAGTGGTTTTATTCTCAAGGCTCAACCAGACAGTTTTGTAGTAAGATTCAAGAAGCTACCAGGTTTTGGTATTGCATAGTAACATACAGTAAACTAGTACTGCAAAGGTGAGGCATATGGACACACAGGGTATAAAAGCCTTTTACAGAAAGGGAGAAAAGGATCCCTGCTCCCTTTTCCTTTTTTTTTTTTTTAAGATTTTTATTTATTTATTTGAGAGAGAGAGAATGAGAGACAGAGAGCATGAGAGGAAGGAGGGTCAGAGGGAGAAGCAGACTCCCTGCCGAGCAGGGAGCCCGATGCGGGACTCGATCCCGGGACTCGAGGATCATGACCTGAGCTGAAGGCAGTCGCTTAACCGACTGAGCCACCCAGGCGCCCCTCCCTTTTCCATTTTGTGATCTAACTGCGCAGTCTGTGCTTGTACTTCCAAGTCCCCAAAGAACCGTTGTACTTGTGGTCAGTCTGAGTTCAGGACAGATGTACTTTACTTTGGCTTGCTGCCTGGCCTCCCTCAGCTGGATTTCAAGTATCCAACTTTTAATCCATGTATAGAATGGACCGTAACCAGTCAAAATGTAAATGTAGAATATATTGAAATGACATTAAGGACTGGTCATGTTAAATATGAAGTGGTCACTGGTAAATTGGAGAGAGGCTAATACAATTTCCATCTTCTGTAAATTGTTTCTTACTATATTGGGTATATATAATTGAACCAAATTACTCAAGACATGCAATTTGGTGACTACGTGACATTCCAAAGTGTGTAAGTGCTCACCTGATCCTGACATTTTTTTGCAGGTATAGAAGCATATTAAGTTATTTGTGTAGCTTACTGTGGGAATAAACTTTAGAAATCAGTGAGGTTTCTAGTTGTTTTAGCACACTATTTACCTTAGATAAATTTTCACTTTTTCTTCACCTTTAAATTATAAAACAAAACTTTCCCCAGTGTACATATGGGATATGTGGGGTTACAGTGTAATACTTGTTCTGTAAAGTGCACTGAGTTCTCCAGGGGCAAATAATGAAACTAAATGTTACAATTTATTCCATCTTCATGATTACAAACATTACAGGCAGGATAGGTACACAAGGCAAATAAAACAAACTTCTCCCATTTAACTAAATGCAGCATTTTGCCAGTTTAATGATAATACAGGTTGGCTTGCTTAATTTGGGCTGAAAGCTGGCAACAGCAAATCTTTGCAATTTAGGATCTTCCTCCATTGTTACTCCAAGGATCTTCATTCCTAAACTACACTATGAGCTCAGAAATGGTGTGTACTGCAACATTCTTCAAGCTTTCACATCTTAATCAGAAATCTGACCCCTCTTCTTAAGGCAGAGAACTCTTAAAGCTGTCTTCCTCTTGGCTAACCCAGTCCACCAGCAATCTTAAAAGTTGTTATTATAAAAATAAAACCGTGCTCCCAAGCATTGATTAAAACTGTTGTGCTGGGATCCCTTTTCAGAGCCTTAGCTCCCTGAGAGAAAAGAGAGATCGTTACCAATTGTTTCCATGAATAATAACCCTAGTACAATGTACCTAATGTCCTTTGCAGCAAAACTTAAGAGGTCAGGCAACCCTGATCATCCTGACAAGTTTATCAGTATTTACATACAAAGGATATTTAAAGCTGATCCCAGACCAAGTATTGCAACCATAATCCCAAGAAGTCATTCAGTTTAAGCACATGGAGTTCCTGCAAGATGCCAGAGCAAATGAGAAATCATCTCATAGCAAAGAGTGATGGTTCATCATCTTTTACAAGTGAGAGGAAATCAAGGAGGAAAGAAAACTCCTCCCTCCTAAACTCATCAAATCGATGGCTATTTTCACAGCCTTAATTGTCGAAATCCAGTGTCCTCAATTTCCTGATTGGAGGAGTCTAATTTCAAGGTGACTGTCAAGGTCAAGAAGAGCTTTCAGGCTTTTCTTTGCCATGGCCCATGAATTCCAGTCCTTCAATGGGAATCTCTTTCTCCTTTATTGCTTTCTGATGGAGAAGAAAACACATGACACAGGTCTATGTGAAGCTTAAGGACCAAACTTTGTAACTATGATGGTACAAAAGTAAATCAGATCAGACCAAGAGAACACCCAACCATGACTGGGTTGTACTTTTTTTACTGTACTGTACTTGACTACTTTTTTTTTTAACCTGAGTACCATTACAGAGAAATTAAATGTAAGACCAGAGAGAGAGATTGGAAAGGAGTTGTGAGGAATTGTCAGTGTTTCAGATGTGGAATGTGGAATTTAAACAGTTATCTCCACTCTGTTATGACAGACACAAATTCAAATCTGAGTTCCAGGACTTGGTGGCTATGTGACCTTGAGCAAGCCTCACTTTCCTATCTATATCCAGCAATTTGGAATTACCCTGAGGATGTTTTAACTTAACTAATTGGGAGTGTTGTGTCCAGTGCGGTTCTTAAAATCCAAAGCAGTTTCACATTCATTGAACTAGAATGAAAATTTCCTAGCGGGTTGAGAGATACAGCAAGCCAAAGAAGGAATTGTAACAACAACAAAATGAGACCCTCATGTCTAACACGCCAGAGAGACTAACACCCCTCTGCGCCCCCCAACAATAATAGTGGAATAGTGCACCACCGCAAAAATCAAGGAAACGATTCTGGTGAACTTGAACTAATCACTTCCTATTTGGGGAACGTTCCATGTATAAAATACCAACAACTATGCCCACTTTTACGAGTTTAGGAGGAGCACCAAATGAACCAAAGGATGTTTCTGTGCTCGGTAAAATGTAAAGCATTGTAAAAATATTTAACTTTGTCATTCAGAGAGATACCGGGCGGCCTTGGTGGTGATGGTGGGGAAACAGCTCCGGCCACTGTCCTCACTGAGGCTTTTCTTCACCCTCCCCATCCCAACCTCCGCGAGATACTACGCGTGTGGCGGGGACACCGCAGAGAGAAGCAGGGGCGGAGGGTAGAGACGAAAGGGCCCTGGCCACCTAAGGGCTCACCTGAACACACTGCTGATAGCGCTTGAAGAGGTCGGTGCACGGGTCTCCGGAGCCGTCCCCCTTGAGGAACTTCTCGGCAAACCAGCGATTGAAGCACTGGTCGTACTCGCGCTTCATGTCGGTGCAGGCCTCCCCTACGCTATTCATGGCGGCGGCGGCAGTCGCGGCGCGCTCTGATGTCGTCACTCTTAAGTGCGTCGTCGGCTTTACGCGAGGACGCACTACGGCGGCTGAAGAGAGAAATGCGGGCGCGGGCGGTGAAGCTGGGCCTTCGGTCCTGGATGGGCTGGCGCCGGGGCTTAACCTCCAAGGCGGATCCTCAGGTAAAGTCCGGGGGCGTCTAAGCGGGTGGTGAAGCAGGTCAGGAGGCGGAGCAGGCCCCACCGTGACCCCTATTCTCCGCCTCATCCCCCCAGCGTAGTGGCAGGGTCACGGCCGAGGTGATCGAACACCTGGAGCGTCTAGCGCTTGTGGACTTCGGCAGCCAAGAGGCCGTGGCACGGTTGGAGAAAGCCATCGCCTTTGCCGACCGGCTCCGCGCCGTGGACACGGACGGCGTGGAGCCCATGGAATCAGTATTGGAGGACAGGTAAACACTCGCGGCTGCGCACCCCCAAGCCTTGCCTGTGGCGCTTTCGCAGCCATTTGAGGTGGCGATGATTAGTGTGTCCTTTCACAGAAGGGAAAAGAGCTTTAGCGAGATGCAAGAACTTGCCCACGGTCACCCCGCGGGTAAGTGTTTTCATGCTTTCCTTTGTTCATTATGGATCTTGTCACTCCGTTTAAAGTCCCCTTGGCCTCCCAGTGTAACTAGGAACCGTGTCCCAACTGCTAATCATCGCCTTTGAGGCCTTGCTTCACAGAGTCCCTGCCTACCACTCGGGCATACTGCTCTTTTTACTCCAGCTACATTAGCTTCCTTACTGTTTCTCCAGCATGACAAATTGTTTCTTGTCTAGGATCTTTGCGTTTGCTACTCCCCTTTCCTTGGACAGCCTGTTTCCTTGGCAGGTCTTAGTTTATCTCCTCCAAGTATCTTCTCCCTTAACAGTCACCTACTCCTGATCTTGTTGGATTTTCTTCTATTTCTTGATTATCTTATTTCTGGTGATTTGTCTCTTGTTAATAGAATGTGAGCTCATGTTTGACTTGCCTACTTGTTGGATTCCTGTCTCAAAATATGGCCTGTACATATCTTCTGACCTAGTGGTTCCCTGTGGAAACATCTGTAAAAGTGCATCAAGATGTATGCACGAGTGTTCACGGTATCCAAACCTGTTTATAATACAAAACAACAACAACAAACTCGCTAACAAGGGGCACCTGGCTGGCTCAGTCCATAAAGCATGCTGTGCTCTCCAGGTCATGAGTTCCAGCCCCAGTTGGGGGTAGAGTTTACTTAAATTAAAAAAAATTTTTTTGAACCCCAAGAAACAAAAAACAGAAACAGTCTAAGTGTCCTTCATGGCTAAATACATCATCATACAATGGAATATTTGACAGTTGTTTAAAAATAATGAAACAACTGGGGCGCCTGGGTGGTTCAGTTGTTAGGCGTTTGCCTTCATCTCAGGTTGTGATCCCAGGGTCCTGGGATCAAGCCCCGCATCGGACTCCCTGCTCTGTGGGAAGCCTGTTCTCCCTCTCCCATTCCCCCTGCTTGTGTTCCCTCTCTCGCCGTGTCTGTCAAAAAAAAAACAAAACAAAAAAACTTAGGATACATTATATCCCCCCATTAAAATAAATAAATAAATGTAATGAAACAACTATGCTGATATGAAAAGATATATTTAATAAAAAAGGCAAAGTTCAGAACATTGTGTATGGGATTATCAATACTTTAATGTGTTACCTGTTTGACATATTCTGGTATATGCATTAAGTTTTGTTTTGTTCCCTCAGAGCATGCAAGAAACTGTAACAATAATTAGTTTTAAAAGAAAGTGGAAATGCAGACAGAGAGAAGTTCTAACTTTTCATCTTATACTGAGGGCCAAAACACAAATGCCTAAAGGAGCAGAGTAGTAACACAAAAAGTGATGTAGTGTAGTGCAATAGGAAGGAGCAGGTCTTTGACAAAGCAGTTTGGGAATATTATACTAAAAGGATGCACAGCCTCTCCCCCCTTCTACCAATTCTTGCCAAATCTTAATACATTTTTAATTTTTTAAAGATTTTATTTGTCGGAGAGAGAGCAGGCACAAGCAGGGGAAGAGGCAGGCAGAGGGAGAAGCAGGCTCCCCGCTAAGCAGGGAGCCCAATGCGGATCTCAATCCCAGGACCCTGGGATCATGACCTGAGCCGAAGGCAGATGATTAACCAACTGAGCCACCCAGGCGTCCCAAAATCTTAATACATTTTTTTATTTATATATATATATTTTTAAAGATTTTATTATTTGAGAGAGAGAGAGCACAAGAGGGGGGAGGGTCAGAGGGAGAAGCAGACTCCCTGCTAAGCAGGGAGCCCGATGTGGGACTCGATCCTGGGACTCCAGGATCATGACCTGAGCCGAAGGCAGTCGCTTAACCAACTGAGCCACCCAGGCGCCCTCTTAATACATTTTTAAAGAAAATGCTCTTTTCTGAAAAGCAGACTTGTTTGCTGGTTAGGACTACAGTTTCTTGGGCAGGATGGGTATGTGGCTCTTAAAGACAGAGGCAGTCTACAACTCTGTCCTACCCTTTTCTTGATGGGGTTTTTTTAAAAAGATTTTTTAATTTGAGAGAGAGTGCAGTGCAGTGTGCAGGAGAAGGATCAGAGAGAGAGGGAGAGGATCTGAGAGAGGGAGACAAGAAGACTTCTCGCTGAGTGGGGAGCCCAATTCTCCGCTCGATCCCAGGACCTGAGATCGTGACCTGAGCCGAAACCAAGAGTCGAACATTCAGCTGAGTCACCCAGGTGCCCCCTTGATGGGATTAAAAAAAAAATACACTCTTAGGATGCCTGGGTGGCTCAGTCAGTTAGGTGTCCAACTTTTGACTTTGGCTCAGGTCTTGATCTCAGGGTTATGAGTTTGAGCCCCACACTGGGCTCCATGCTGGGCATGGAGCCTACTTAAAAAAAAACAAACTTAAAAACAAAATATTCTTAATATAGATGGGAGCAAAAAAGATTAGCTGCCATTTGCACCATTTAGGAGAACCAGACCTATCTGTAACCATAACCTCTGTGTAAAGTGCTTGCTAGCCTCCCATTCTCACCTCCAGTCTTTGATTCCTTCACATTCTTTCTCTATTTTGTAATCTGATGCTCAAATCTACATAAGTCAGTGTTTCTCCAAAATTATATAGCACTTCGAAACAGACATTTTTATTAAAGTTTTTTTTTTTTTAAGATTTTATTTATTTGACAGAGACACAGCGAGAGAGGGAACACAAGCAGGGGGAGTGGGAGAGGGAGAAGCAGGCTTCCCGCAGAGCAGGGAGCCTGATGTGGGGCTCAATCCCAGGACCCTGGGATCATGACCCGAGCTGAAGGCAGATGCTTAACGACTGAGCCACCCAGGCGCCCCTAAAAGATTTATTTATTATTCATTTGAGAGAGAGAGACAGCAAGAAAGGGAACACAAGCAGGGGGAGTGGGAGAGGGAGAAGCATACTCCCCACTGAGCAGGAGCCTGATGCGGGGATCAATCCCAGGACCCTGGGATCATGACCTGAGCCGAAGACAGACAGTTAATGACTGAGCCACCCAGGCACCCCCAAAATAGAAATTTGAGGTTATTCTCCTACCCAGGCTCTTCAGGTGGCTCTCCAGTGTTCTTTAGGATAAAGACAAAAGCTCTACCATAACCTACAAAGCATCATTTAACCTAGCCCCTGCCCACCTCCGGGATAGGGCTGTAACTTTCAATTCCTCGAGCTCTCCATTCTATTTCCTTCTTAGAATCCCCTACCTCATCCCAGCCACTACTCTTTTTTGCCTACTTTTTCTTTCTTCAGATTTCAACTGCCTCTTCCTCAGATTCTTCTCTATCAAGTCAGGCTCCATTTCAAGACCTGTGGCTCTCTCATGGTATTCAATAGAGCTGTAATTTTACATGTGTTTATACATCTGAGTACTATTTATTTATATATTTATTTATTTTCCTAGGTAATCTGTACACCCAATGTAGGGCTTGAATTCATGACCCCGAGATCAAAAGTTGGATGCTCTACTGAGTGAGCCAGCCGGGCATCCCGTATCTGAGTAATATTTCTCTGTCCCTCTCCTACTGCTCATCCATGTTCCAGGGAGCATATCTGTTATTACTCATCATATGCTCAGTATCTAACACCTAGCACTCAGTAAATGTTTGTTGAATGTTCTTTAAAGATTTTATTTGAGAGAGAGAAGGGGGGCAGAGCAAGAGGGAGCAAGAGTCTCAAGCAGACTCCGCACTGAACATAGAGCCCAATGGGGACCTCGATCTCACGAGCCTGAGATTACGACCTGAGCTAAAGCCAATAGTCAGGCATTTAGCCAACTGCACTACCCAGGCACCCCACTGAATGTTCTTCATTAATATCTTTGGGAAAGGAGGGAATAGAAGCACAAAGAGGAGACAGCATTTCCCAGATCGTGTAGAGGGAAACTGTAAAGAAATGCAACTATTACTCAGGGAAGAGTTTGTGAAAAGGATGAGGGATTTGGATCTGGTAGCTGGAATAGTGACTTCATATTCATTGATCTGCAGTCTTGCCATAAACTTGGAAACCAGTTTAATTATTCCATTTTAGAGATGTAGCACTTGTAGGACTTTGTTTTTTGAACATATTGCCTCACTGAATCATGTTTGAAATGGAACCCAGTTAAGACAAGTGTTAAACCGTTTTAGCCCACACTAGGTGTAAAAGTGCTGACTGGCTATTAGAAAGCTCTTGGCACATTAATACCCTATCTTTTGGTTTTAGCTAAAAAGCATTTGGTGCCTTTATGTGTCAGGCGCTAAGATTTTATATGCATTGTCTGAATTATCACATACAACCCTGGGAGGTAGATACTAGTATCTCCTTTATAGATGAAGAAACTGAGGCACAGAAAGCTTATGTAACATGCCCCAGAGTTTCCCATGTGTAGTAAGAGAATCCAGAACTTGAAATTCAGAGCTTCAGTTCTCAAATATACTTCTAGATATGCCGTCCAAGGGACACCTGGTGGCTCAGTCAGTTAAGTGTCTGCCTTCAGCTCAGGTCATGATCCCAGGGTCCTGGGGTCTAGTTCCACATCGGGCTCCTTGCTCAGCAGGGAGCCTGCTTCTCCCTTTGCCTGCTTGTGTGCGCGTGCTCTCGCTCTCTCTGACAAATAAAAAATAAATTTTAGATATGCCGTCTAAAAGTCAACCCCTAGGGGCGGCTGGGTGGCTCAGTTAAGTGTCTGCCTTAGGCTCAGGTCATGATTCCGGGGTCCTGGGATCGAGCCATCATCGGGCTCCTTGCTTGGCAGGGAACCCGCTTCTCCCTCTTTGTGCTCTCTGTCAGATAAATAAAATCTTTAAAAATAAATAAAAGTCAACCCCTAGAACCTTTATTTTCTCCCATCTCCAGAGACTGACTCAGATGATATCTCTGACTGCAGCCAAATACTTCTTCAGTGCCTAGGATGTCCCTCAGAATCTTATTTGAACCAAAAATTCTTAGCCAAATTGATTCTCATTCCAGTCTGCATCAAACTAGAAATTAATTAGGAAGGAGGGAAAAGGCTTGTAGATGGAAATAGAGTGGTGCCCAGAGAAATGACTCCTGGCAGCCTGACACCAGCAGCAGAGTGGTTCTATCTGGTCTAAGGGCCAATAAAGAAAGGCATTTCTCCAGTGCTGCCATAGTGCTTTCCATTAAATTGCTTTTTATTAGCATTTCCCACAGTTACTGGTTAAAGTGCTTTGTGAGCCTTTCTCAACCAGGATTTCATCTGAACCAGAACACATAAAGATTCAAGTGATTTTTTTCAGTGCTTCCCAGGATAGTATATAATTAATATTAGCCCATATTTTATTATCTATCCCATAGTTATATTAGTCCATAGTTGATTTATTTTTTAAGATTTTATTTGAGAGAGAATGAGAGAGCACGAGAGGGGGGAGGTCAGAGGGAGAAGCAGACTCCTTGCCGAGCAGGGAGCCCGATGTGGGACTCAATCCAGGGACTCCAGGATCATGACCTGAGCCGAAGGCAGTCGCTTAACCAACTGAGCCACCCAGGCGCCCTCCATAGTCAATTTATTATCAAAATGGGTGTCCTATAGTACTTGGGCTAAAATTCTCTTGTAGAACCCTGAGAAAGAGGAAGTGAGATAGACATTTAGTCAGTCAGCAACTGATAGGCACCTGGTCCAGTTTGGAGTTTTATGCATGATTCTGAGGTCAAGAAAAGTTAAGCAACTTGCCAAGTGAACCACTGATGTGCCACGCTCACAGAGACACTGGGTTCAGTAGCCTATGATTATGAAAATAGGAAGGTGTGAGTTTCTTCTGCAAACAACTCCATCATAAACAGTATAACTAGGTGAAAATGTGTGGCATTTAAGGGAGTGAATTTTTTCTGGAAAACATTACTTACATAGGAAACCTGATTATCAAATGAGTGAATAAATCATTTGCTATTACATCTGTGGAGCAGCAGTAGCTTTTAACCACCTGTTGGTGGTAGTAGAGTCTCACTGCATCAAACTCTCCCAGCGCCAGGAACAATCAGCCTCCGGTATGTAGGGGCTAGGCAGGTATTGTGTGCTTACGGCAGGTTAAGTGTGGAGGTATACTCTGAATGAGGAGAGGTGACTGAGGTGTGCCCAGGTGCACTTTCTGAAAGGAGCAGGTGCTATTCAGTACCCACCTCTTACTGCAGTGAGAATGCAGGTCCTGAGAATTATCAGATCTTCTTTAACACTTACTCTTCCCAGCAGTTTTAGGAAGCATTCCACAAATAAGGAAACAGGTACATGGAGAGGGTAAGTAACTCGCACATGTGCCATGTGTGGTACTAAGATTTGAATTTATCTGTGACTCAGGAGCCCAAGCTCTTAGCCATTTCATTATACCACCCAACAGAAATACAAACTCCAGAAGGTCCAATGGTCACCTTTACAGAGGATTTTTATTTTGTTCTCCAAGTTCTCATAGGCCCCCATATGGTTTAAAAAGAAAAGAAAAAAAAAGTGCAACCTTTACTTTTTTGGCAAGAAAGTTAAGGTCTGGGAAGATCCATACTTGTCCAAGGCCACAGAGTTAAGCATGCCAGATCCTGGAATAGACTGCAGCTCTCTACAGTGCGTACCATGAGTGCTTTTGTATCTAGCCCTAGGGTGGGTGCCACAAAAGAAACAGAACAAGTCCTTTCCTAAAAGAATCTTATCATGACAACTTCACCCTCTGCAGCCTTTGCCTGGATGTTCATGTCACATCCTTGCCCTTTTGTCCCATTAGGTTTAGCCCTCAGTCTGTCTGGCTCAAAGCAGAAAGAGCTTGGCTGCTCCCCTATCAGTGATTGAGCAGACTGCTTATTTTTCAGCCCAAGTATCTGGAAGCAGGCTCAGCTATCTTGCCATGCACTTTTAAACCTTGAAACAGCAGTAAAGCCCCATAGATATGTTCAACCTCTGTTTGGTTTCACTAGTTTGCCATCTGGACATTTTAATGAAGCCACCAGGCCGAGAGAATAGTGGAATATTCTTCAGCTATGCAAGGGCAGGCACCTCCATGTCCCTGAAGGTGGCTGCTGTGAAAAAACAGCTCATGTTAGGGGCACAAGAACTGTGCCAATTCCAGTCCCGTCACTTGGGACCTACTGTCTAAGTCACTTATCCACTCTTGAGCAAGTTTCTTTCACCTGCCTGGAAGTCCATTTCCCATCCCACCAATCCATCGGTTTCTTGCTCATCCTTTAGCAGTGACATCACCTATTCTGAGTACCCGTTCCTCACCCAGGCTGGTTTAGGTGCCCCTTTCTACTCCCTTGGCAAGCTCTGCTTACCTATTAAACACATCATATTATAATTGCCTTACCTGTCTCCACCAAAGGCAACTTACCCATGGTAATCATGCAGAAGTATCTGTTGAACATACCAGTCCTCAGGAGTAATTACCACTTACCTCATTGAGTGGTTGAGAATCTATAAACTGTAGATTGTTATTTGGTCGACTATTGACAATAGCTCCTCCATCTTTGAGTAGTGACCATAACTTAAGAATATGCCGCTCCATTTTCTCCCATTCTTGACCCTCTCCACCCATGCTATAGAAGCCTGTTCTTTGAGAAGGTAACCTTGAGCTTCTGGTTTTGTAGATGTCTATACTTGAGATCTGACAATGTGGTAGAAGGCAACTGTGCTGAAGTACTACTACAAAATGCCCATCGAGTTGTGGAGGAGTATTTTGTGGCCCCCCCAGGTACGTGTTCCCCAAAGTGGCTTATTAACAGATTGTCCCTCAGGTGAACTAAGAATATAGTAGGAGCTGTACGGTCCGAATTTGCTACATGAAAGTACTTTAAGAAGTATAAAGTGGGAATTAGGTGGTCAAAAGGTACAAACTTCAGCATACAGCAGAATGACTGTAGTTAACAATACTGTATTCTGTTCTTATCACAAGGAAAAAGTTGTAACTATGTGAGATGATGGATGTTAACTAATCCATTTTGCTGTACATATATATATATCAAATCATTGGGTTGTACAACTTAAACTTAGACAGTGTTGTATCTCAATCTCTCAATAAAAGTGGAATGAAAAACCCCACATATATTAACAGTGAAAAAAAAGTGTAGGTAGTGGCAGTAGACTGGAGGGGTCACATGCACCTCTAGGGGCCAGTCTGTAATAGGAATGTGCAAAACAGGACTGGGGCGGGGAGGTGTGTATATGGTGTCAAATCCTGAGCTCAAGCTCTGCCTGAAGGGGCAACTAACACTCACTGCTTCTCATTCAGTGCCAGGCAGTAATGTGAGCCCATTTTCCCCAAGAACCCGGACATCTGGCATTTTCATGTGTGTGTGGTATTTCCCAAATTTTAAGTATGGGAACTAATTCAAAGATTAAAAAAAAAAAAAAAAAACCATGTAAATAAAACATACCTGCAAGCCAGATGCATCCTGTGAGCCATCATTTTGCAACCTTGGTGTTGAGATTTGCATCTTTAAAATTTACTGTGACTATTTTAAATAAAAATTTAAAATAACTCTGGGCTAATACTAAAATCCAGTCTTGGGTGGGTTGAACTTTTTAATCTCCTCTGCAGACACCTGCTGCACCCTTCTGGATATTTGGGAATGGGACTAGCTTGAGCACTCAGGTAGCTGGTTTTCCAAGTACCAGCCTCAGGTTCCGATCATCTCAGAGAACCATTCTAACTAGCCTCACAGACAAACACCAGTCCCCCAGCCCCTTCAGGGGTTACCTCTATGACCAAGACCAGCTAATTAAAGGAAAGCTTTGCTTAAAGCAAGAATGGGAAAGAAAGCTTAGAAAATTGTGGACTTGACTCTAAATCATGCCTCTGATTCACTAAACCACCTCAAATTAACTGGGAAGAGAAAAAAGATTTTATGATCTCTCTCAGAATCTGATAGTTGTCACTATTTTAGCAAACATAGCCATTGATCACATATGCTATTTGTCAAAAAGAATTTGTGTCAGACTTTGCTTCTTGAGACAAAGTGAATTCACAATCATTAGTCTTTCCTTCCACTCCTATATGCATAGAACTGGCTAAACTGTCTCTGCTCCTTATTGAAAAGTGTGCATTTATTAGGCTTCACTTACAAGTGTTACTCTTTCAGACACTCAGAAAAACAGGATAATAGCTACACTTATTTGCATTGCTTATTTTTCATCACAAACCAAGTGATAACTTAGCTCAGTAGAACCAGCTGGGAAGCAGACTCAGCTATAACATTCTTTTTTGTTACTGTTTTCAAACAGGTAATATCTCTTTGCCAAAGCAGGATGAACAAGAGCCTTTTTCACACAACTGAGTAGCTGTTCTGAGAATGGGTACCCTGTGAACACGTGGAAGCCCAAAGATAGTATTTCGTTACTGTGAACAGTAATGTTCCAACTTTCTTCAGTCACCTGAAAAAAACTGATGGTTAAGTATTTTTTAATAACTCTCTGAAGACAAAATTGGGAAATAATCTAGCCCAAACAAGGCAGTGAGTTCCTACTGCTACTGGAAGAGGTATTGTTACTTTCCAGGTATTTATTCACAGACTGTTCAGTATTTAAGATGTCATCCTCCTTTATCTCCTCTAGAGACTATCTACCAAACTGCACTTAAGTGAATTTTTCTATTGATGTAACTATTAGTGCATCTGATCACTATGTGACAACAGGTGTTGTACTTTTTAGTTGCTGTTTCTGTCAATCCAAGAAACCTTGTATCTTTATCAAATTCAGATTTGTTCCTGGGTACCCACTCTGCTGTTTGTTCCCAGCAGAAGGCTAACTTTCTCCTAAAGTGTGAAGAGTATTCAAAGTAGACTCTACAGCTTGTGAACTCCTAACCTACAATCATCCACTATCCCACAAAGTGATCACATGCAAGAGGGATGCTAGCCACAGCTACAGTTTTTCTGTAAAGAACCTGTCAGAAATAGCCCTGGGATAGCTAACAGTATGGTACTGTACACTAAAAATTTGCCAAGAGGGTAGATTTTGTATTAAATGTTCTTACCACAAATAAATCTTAAAGGAGTAGGGAAGCAACTTTGGGAGGTGATGGATATGTTTATAGCCTTGATGGTGGTGATTCTTTCATGAATACACACTTAACCCCAAACTCATGGAGTTGTATAGATTAAGTAAGTACAACTTTTTACATGTTAATCATACTTCAATAAAGTGGCTTTTTAAAAAAAGCCCAGGCCTGGAAAAAAAGTAACTTCCCCACCCCCACCATGGTTACTGAATTGAGTAGAATCCAAGATAGTTGAGTTTTTTGGTTTTGTGTTTTAAGAAAGTTCAGATACCAAGGATAAATGAAACAGATTTACGGAAAGAAGTGATAGAACCAAAATTTAAAGAGATCCCCCCCCCCCCAAACTGCCACATTTGGTTTTAAAATCTTCCAATGATCTTTATGCTGCTGCCAACTTTAAAGTCTGTTTTATTCTTTCCATTTCTTTGCCCTATCTTAAATGCTCCCTTCTTCTTTAAGGCAGCTTTATTTATAAGCTTGGCCTTGAATTATAAGATAATCCTGAAGCAACTCTTGGGATTGAAATTCTCAAACCACCAACATAGCAACTATCTTTTTCCCCAAATAGTTATCCACTTCTGCTCCTTACCAACTGGGTATAAGCTGCTGCTACTACAACTCAATTACTTTTTTCTTTTTAATCAGTGTTCCTGTTTGGTGAAATCTATTAACTTAATCAAGGACAACCACACATATCAATTACTAAACGTTTAAAATATATTTCTAAACAGAATGGGCCGACTCAGTCACAGTAACTGCTGATCTCCATAGTAGAGCAACCCACAAAGACACAGCACTGATTTTTTTCCCATAATCAGGGGTGAAAAATATACAACTTATTTCTGAACCAAAACCACAATTTCTGCAGTTTAAAATGCTTCACTGCCAATATGGCCCTGGTAGAAATTATGTATTTTATTTCCTTAAAAAAAAATTAAAAAAATTTCCTAAGACACTAAATCATCAATCTGGAATGTAGATTCTGAGCACAAAGCAGCTCAGTTCACCTAAAAAATAAAGAAAAATTTCCCATCACCTGTCTCAGTAGGGCCTGAAAGGAGAGAAGTAGTGTGGGGAACCCCTGCTTTGGTATGGAGAGTCACGGCCCCTTGACCCAGACCGAGACCGTGAGTAGCCATAGCTGGTGCTTCTCTCTGGATAAACTCGGATGTAGGAAGTTTCACCCTGCAATTCAAACAAAGAGTACAGGAAAAAATAAGACCCAGAAGAATACAGCACACTAATACCTAACATGGCTACTTAACAATAATAATTAAGTACTGAGCACTTACTGTTTTTCTGGCATGATGTTATGTCATTAAACCCTCACAATAATGCTATGAGATAGGTATGCTTACCAGCTCATTTCAAGAATCAGGAAAACAATGTTCTTATCTGGTCCAGGGTGACACAAATAATAAATGGCAACTTCACATATGGTAAATGCTCAAATACTAGCCACTACTGTTAACATACCTGAATTACTGCCACTGACCCCTGAATCTAAGAACTAGAAAGGATCTCAGAGGTCATACAATTCAATCCTCTGCCACTTCATATATGCATCTTTGGATAAATACCTATGGAAGAAGCTAACCTGTATTCAACACTTCTCAGGTGTCAGGATTTGGGTTAGATACTCAGTTATCTTCGTAAGTTAGCTTTTTGGCAAGTCTTACAAGACAGTGCTATTATTGTTCCTATTCTGCATATCAAGGAATCAAGGTTCAGAGCATAGCTCAGCTAAAAAATTATTAAGTGGCAGAGGAGTCATGTCCAGGCTGGCCTGTGCCCTTTGCCCTCAGCCAACACTCTCAGAGGATCTAAAAATGCTAGGATGAAAGAAGTCGGACAGATAAGTCCCTAGGTGAAGTCAGTAATTAGATTTATCCTTACTGAGGCCCTGCTTTGCAGTATAACTGAGGACCAGATCCTGTTTTGTTTCTGCTCCAAATTCAGTCTGAGCAAAAGCACTGTTAAGCTGTGTACTTTCCAAGTCATAAAATTAGGGAACTATATGACTCCTTAGAGAAATAAATGGACCCCAGACATAGTTAAACCCCATAGTAAGTCAAGACAAGATAACCAGAAAAAGCAATGTCCAGTTGGGTCTGCTGTCTTATCTCAGTGATATCAAAGGGATAGTCAGCATGTGAATCAAATTGAGAGATCTAAAGCAGCGGCTGCCTTCGTGAAAGGAAAAACATCAAGAACTAAGTCCTGAGGATAAGGTGATTGTAAGAAAATGCATTACTCTGGGAAAGGAAAAATAAGTGATAACTTGGCACAACGCAGTACCTTAGGAGAGCTGAGATGATGAGGTTGGCTTGCAGAGCCCAGACTAGACCCAGAGGAGAGACAACCATAATAATTAGGTTCACAGAAGTACATAACAGATTAAGCCAGTTGTGAAAGGGATGGTATCACAGAATAGCTCACCACATTATGACAGACTGCACCAGTATTCTCTCCAGGTTAAAAACACTATGACTACAGATTCCTCTCTGTCATGACCCTGAAGGGTTTGGGCACGATGAATTCCTTGGCTTCATCCACTTAAGATAGATCTTTAATGGTACTGTGAGGTCATCAAATGGCAAACACATGGCCTGTTCCTACTTCTGCTAGGTCAGCTTCAGGTGGAGTGGCTTAGGTGCAAGCTCAAAAGAAGGTGGGAACTCACCTCATGAGAGCGGAATTTGGTGTCATCCAGTTTACGCAGGGCGTATTCCATGTCTTCTTTTCTGAGATATTCAACCATCCCCATTCCATCCTTCTGCACATCTGCATAACAGACATCCCCAGCTTCTCGCATGTGATCCTTCAGGTCCTGCCAGCTGCCTGATGGCGGAAGTCCTAGGCATGGACAACATAAAAGGCCATATCCTTCAGCCATGTTAACTGACCTGTTAAGAGCCAGCAATACCTAGGTTCCCTTTTTCATCAATCATTACTTTACAATCCTGAGGATCCCCAAATCACAAATCGTAAGGGGCATAAAACCAGCGAAGAGTACTAAAGTATGTGTGGTAAATCACCATAAGAAGCTGGTCCTAGGCTAATCTTCCAGAGACCAAGCTCTTCCAACAGAGCAAGAAGTCCACCCCATTACAGATTTAATATCTCTGAGAATTCATAGCCTTTCTTTAGCCTTCGTATTTAATATCAAACTCCCAAGACTTTGAGTTCTAATTTTCTCCATTATGAAATTTATCAGTACCAATTATCTCTTGCTTGACTGGGTTCTCAGGACATGGGAATTTTGTGGTTTTTTTAAAGATTTTATTTATTTATTTATTTATTTGAGAGAAAGAGAGAAACAGCATGAGAGGGGAGAGGGTCAGAGGGAGAAGCAGGCTCCCCGCTGAGCTGGGAGCCCGATGTGGGACTCAATCCCAGGACTCCAGGATCATGACCTGAGCCGAAGGCAGTTGCTTAGCCAACTGAGCCACCCAGGCGCCCGTGGACATGGGAATTTTGAAACTATCCAATGAAAGTAACCAAGGCGTAGCCGAAGGTGACAACACAACAAAAATCTAAAGTTTGTTTTCTTGTAGGTGTCAATGACTAACAAACTAAACAAAGTACCTTTCAAAAGATCACCAACATTCTTCAATACAGTGGGGGAAAAGGTAAGACTCAGACGCTACAACTAGTCGGGAATTATACAACCCTACCTGATGTCATGAAAGGGAAATGTGCTCCTGCTCTCAAAGGCTGTGTTTACCGCTCACAGCTCAGGATTGCAGCCATTTCCTAATAGTTTTCTAAGCAGGATTTCAGAGCAGCATGGAGAGAAAAAAAGATATGTATGACATCCTGAAGGAGGGAATAGAGTTCTGGGGTTAAAAAATTACAAAGGGACACAAGATAGGCAGATACTGAGAGGATCACTCCTAAGTACCATGGGGGTCTGCTGTAACTGTGTGACATTCACATCTAAGAAAGTGCCAGGTTTCTCAATACATTTCACTCCACCATGGTCCTAAAATGCCCCTGCAATGTGCAGAAGGCCCCAGGTCTTTACCACTGTTTTAGTATTTTGAAAAGATGCATAAACCTCTGAGCTTGGCATTTCATCACTTGTCAACACTAGACATTTCATTCTGTATTCTGCAGTACAACCCCTAAAACTCCAAGTTTTTTGTTTTCTTTTTTATATAATTCCAAAGCCACCACCAAAATCTGGCCTTTTCCAGCATCCAAGGCTAGGCAGTAGTTCAAATCTGGTTCCTGGAATGTCTACCAAGTCTGATACCAAGTACATTACAAAAGAAAACATCTCTATAGAATTCTAGCTCACAGGGTTTTGCCCTCATCTTCCCTCTCAACACTAGAAAACTTTATAAGAAGCAAGTTGATGTTCTA